TCCACCTGGTGCAATCAGCGTTACACACCTGATTCCCATTCAGCCATTTACTAATGGTATATCAGCGGAGGCTCCACAACATGTCAGCGCCAGATCGTTGTTTAATCCCCAGTGGTAACTCTCAGCCTTCTTAGCCGATTTAAAACTATTTCTCTGTACACGGAATACTTTTCTCATCTGTTTCTCTTATGCTCCAGGATCACTATCCAGCCGCCTTGTTACCATCACCTGCCGCCACCAGTCATCATTCCAACCGGATTACTCTCCACACTCACCAGTCTTCATTCCTACAGGATTACTCTCCACGCTCCTCCACCTCACAATAAACCTTTTTCCAACACTCTGCCGTGTCCTGCGTTTGGGTCCTATCGGATATCGTAACAAAAATATGTTCATTTTGTTGTAGTTGCCAGCGATTCTCTCACTAGTTTAGCATACTCAGCCCGGTTGTTGGCCCGGAAAGAACCTCGATTTTGGAGAGCCAGAAAAACTGTGAAATAGTACCCGCTAGCCGGAACTACGCCTAGTGGAAACGCAACCAAAAACCGTCCGGGCACGGCACGCTTAAACCGCGCTCCGCACTGTAGTGGAAATGCGCCATTAGTGACAGTAGGCTGACAGGACAGTTAAATGGATGTATCTTACATTTCTCAAAAGTCAGCCCCTTACATCTACAAGTTCACACCGGGCTGTTCTTACTTGATAATTGTGAACCTAATAGATTAAAGGCTTCTTGTCAAGCTTCCACGGTCAAGTGGTTTATAGGTTAAGACCGTGCACACACACACAGGGCGGATCTACGGGGGGGCAGCTGCCCCCCACACTGTAGAGCCTTGCCCCCCCAGCTGCCCCCCTAACTTTTGTGTCCCTAAAACTGTACTTGTAGAAACAAACCTACACTATGTCGACAAGCTTCTCACGCAACAAAACAAGCAGTACATTAATTAAAAGTGAATCATTTTAAATATCATCTTAGGCCCGTTAAAAACGCAGCTACGGCCCTAAAACTGCGGAGCGGCGTTCACAGACCGCGGCTCACGCAGCTGCAGAGAGACCGAGCTGTCCCAGCACTTGAGGGTGGATCAGCTTCCCCTTGGAGCGTTTAAAAGGCGGGCGCTGTTTGGGGCGTTACGTTACAAAATAGCCTACTACACAGAAAGCGCTAGCTGGGAGATCGATCACTTTTATTTGCTCAACTATGCGGTAGGCTACTATTAAATCCACGTAAATTACTCTCACACATCACAGCAATGAGGCTGATAAATGAAACCAGGATACTGTAGTGATCACTGATTCATACACTGGGGTTACATAATTCAATCCGGGAACTACAGGTTGGGGGTATTGTTTATTGACATATGTTGACGGTACCTCCGGGGTACCTGCTGTGTGTCCTCCTCTTTCACTTTCTCTTCTCTTCTGCGGCTTCGACCCGATAGCATGTCAGTTTCTGCTCCCCAATAAAGAGAGATTTGCACCTCCGATACACCGCCTCCGTCTCCCTTCTCTCGGCACTACAATACATCCTTTACCGTCAAACTGGTTCTAAACACAGCTGCCTGTGTGCGTTTGATAAATACTTTCTGATTTTATATTTATTATATATGCTACTTATTAGCTACATGGCCCTAACGTCAGTGGTTGTGATTGGCCCCGGTGCAAATATTGTTTTGGGGTCCCCCCCCCCCCATCGCCCCAAACATAAGCGCACGCTGATGCGCTCACACACGCACGGACATACACAACCACTCAGAAGCGCCACATGTATAGGCTATCAACAACAGCCTGCCCTGGCCTCAGACCACCACAGCCTGACAACGGCACAGCGAACTAAGAAGAGGATTAAACCTGTTTCCTTGATGTTTGTCTCTGGGGAATGGGCCGGTAGGCCTACATAGACCGGTTGCTATAATATAGCTTTTGATCTTGGTCTCAATAGCGCCATAGAGTCCCCTATCGGTTGGGGCCCTTGGGGGAACTGTTGGACCACCGCCGGGCACAGCCAAATCCAGCCTCTCCTCCTGGCTGGCTGGAGAAGAAGGTTGTACAGCCACGGATACAGCTTCACTTGTGGATTAGATGGCAATGATGGTGGTGAGCTATCGTTAGCCTCCGGCTGCCGCTGTACGTCAACATTGCTAACGTTAGCGCTCGATTTCGAGGACGATGTATGACAAAAAAAATTGTCTAATTTTGTCAGTTTAGCTGTTACATCTCCTTGTTCTCTCTTGTCCTTTCTCTTTTGAGCGCTGCTCTTGTGCTTTGGTTTGCTGTACATTATAAATGCAAGCTATTACATTTTTTATAATGCTACCGAACTTGCTGCTGCTAGCTACAGTACAGTACAGGTTGATTAAACGGTTCGCTCGTCACGCAAGGTATCACATGTCATGAAAGGGAGCAAGGTCATTGGAGAGACAAATTACAAATTAATTTAGGTTGCTTGGTTACTTTGAAGACTGAGTGAACCGGTCAATGCCATTGGGGCCCCAAAAAAAAAAATGTAAAAGAAGAAAAAAAAAAAAAAAAAATTTAAAAACTTTTTATTTTTTGCATGGGCCCCTGGCCGGCTCTGGGCGCCGGTGCATTGCACCGGCTGCACCGTCGATAGTTACGCCACTGCCTAACGTGTAAGGTTATACAAGCATTTGTACCAGTGCTTTTCACAAGTAGACTCTTGCAGGCCAGAGTAGCTGGAGTGAGTCAACAAGAAAAAAGACATATCTGAGAAGTGATCAGGACGAACAGAAAGAGGAAAAGAGAGTACACTGAAGAGACCAGGAGGAGGAGAAAGCCAGTAGGAGATGAAGACATTAGTGAAGAAGAAGAACATTTTTATGTGAGGAATAAAGATGAAGTGTCAGAAAGAGGGACAGAGGCAGTGATCATGAGGCAGATGAAACTCCAGCTGGACCACATGGTATGTTTTTATTCTCCTTGCATACATATTCCATTACGGAGCTTACACACGGCGGCGTGCGTTGACGCTTGGCGGTGGGCGTGTCTGAAGCTTGGGGAGTTACGGCCCGTCCACACGGCGGCGTGCGTTGAAGCTTCAACGTTTCTGCCCATTCACTTTGAATGGGGTGACGTCACGCTTTGCCGAACTGCATTGTGGGAGCGTCGCTTCGCTTTGCTCGCGTTGCTCGCTTCAAAAGTTGAGCAATGTTCAACTTTTGAAGCTTCGACGGAAGCGTCAGCCAATCAAATCATATGCCAGTACAAGCTCTAGCCAATCAAACCGCATGCTTGTGTGTCCGGGGCGGGAGATTCATGTGATTGGTTGTTGGTCGAGCTTCAGACACGCCCGCCGGCAAGCTTCAACGCACGCCGCCGTGTGGACGCTGCGTTAGTATTGACAAATATTTATTGAAATGTGCTGCTGCACAGGTCACCTTTAGCTCTCTTAAGAGATGGGTGATGTCATTTGTGTACTTAATTATAACTAAGTACTTTTACTGTACTTACAGTAAGCAGAATTAGGGTATCATGAGTATTTTCTGCTGTTTTATACTATATTTGAGTTTGTTTGTCTGAACACCTTGTTTCTCTTGTGCATTAAGAACACTTGTGTTAGGGCATGATTTAACAATAAAAAGGTTATACAGTATAAAATACCACGTACTGTACGCCCTCCCATGCCACCCTGGCATGACCTCTTGCCCCCCCTTTGCCACCCCATGTAAAATGTTCTAGAACCGCCACTGCACACACGCATGCATGCACACACAAATGCGTACTCACACACACAACAGTGGAAGAAGTATTCAGATGCTTTACTTGAGTAAATTATCAATGCATTACTGTCAAAATACTTAATTACAAGTTGAAGTCCTGCATTTAGAGTCTTACTTTGGTACAAGTACAAAGGTATTATAGTATCAAAAGTAAAAGTAATCATTGTGCAGAAAAATTGCCTTTATGTGTATATAATTATATTTATATGTGACGTTTCTAGATAATATGGTTGCATCACGTAGTTATGTTGTAGACCAGGGCTATTCAATTGGCGGCCCGCGGGCCAAATCCGGCCCCGGGGTGATATTTACTGGCCCTTTGAGTATAATGTTAAAAAGTAATCAATTTTTTTTTTTTAAGATTTTTTTTTTTTTATGCCATAGTGCCTTTATTCCAGAGAGGGTGTTACATTGAGAGATAGAGGGGTAGACAATGCCTGAAAACTTCGACGGGCTCGGGTTTCGAACCCACCTACTATACTGTAGTGACAACTCCTGTCATTGATTGCATCTCTGCGTGAATGATTAGATCATTTCACCTAAATGAAATCAAATGAAACATGTAGGCCTACTGAGTTCTGAACTTGCCATTTAGATCTATAAAGGCCTTGGGGCTATGTTGTTTGATTGAATTAAACACAATATATGCACTCCACTATGCTGTTGTAGTATTTACTGTATCTGAAGCTCTTAAATATGATTGCTCATATTTCAAGCCATCTTTTTCCCGGCCCCTTGCTTTGGATCATTTTCATCAACCGGCCCCCATTCCAAACTAATTGAATAGCCCTGTTGTAGACAAACAAAGTTCTGATTGACTTTTGACTTTTCTGAGTTGCTCCACTCGTTTAGTTTTTAGAGATGTATTTTGTTAAAAGTAGCTTAAGCTGTTTGATAAATGTAGTGGGGTAAACTTACATTGTTTCAAATGTAGTGGAATAGAGGTATAAAGTAGCACAAAATGGAAATACTCAAGTAAAGTGAGAGTAGGCCTACCTCCAAATTGTAGTTGAGTAGCCTACAGTACTTGAGTAAATGTACTAGTTACTTCCCACACACACATTACACATCAACATGTCATTTAGTGGGGTGCTATTATGCATAAAGCACATGCTAAAGATTACAATCACCCCCCCCCCCCCCCCCCCCCACCCTGGTCACTACAGGTTTCTGTCGGTTGTGCTGCACACTGCTTATGCTGCTGCTCCTGCCGTCGTTAGCCGAGTATTGAGCTACCAGCTGACCTACTTTCTCTCAGCCACTCGGTCCTGTTTACAAGTCCCTGCCAGCGGAGGATGTGGAGTACAGTGCCTGGAAAATAGACAGACACAGCCCGCAACTAGCAAACACCACAAAAGGGACATTTAGCTGGTGTGTTTTGTTGATAAATGAGGACTGTCAAAGCCACAGAGAGCTCACCGGCGATCAATAACAGCACGTTATTAACTTAGGCGTTGTTATGCAATGTAACGCTTTCGGTGCTCTCGTGGTGGTGACGTTAAGCTGCTATGCTGTAGTTTAAAAAAAAAATGAACAGATTGGTTAAAGTTAAGTGTCGACCATTCTTTCTTCTGGACACACGTTTTCAAGGTAGGTGAGATTTAATGTAAGCTTTCAGTGGCGCGTTGTTATAACATCAAAGTTCACCAGCGTCAATTTTAAAGGAGAGGTGTTCGACAGCATGCTTAGCTTTTTTCAATTATGCTTACTCCTGTCAGACTGCTTAGGCTGAATATATTGTGTGGATTACGGGAGTCTTGTATGAGCAACGTTACAGGAGCTCTTGAATGCTGCTTACATGTTTTCAGCGCACAGTCATTCTCGTGCCCTCGTTACAAGGTTGAAATAACCAATTTCTTCCCCCCTTTTGTACCTCTTCTGATGGTGACATTCATGGTAAAACACTGAAGGGATTGTCAAACGTCAGAGAGCAAAATGTTAAATGTCACAGGAAAAGAAATCCTTTAATAATTTCTCAACGAGCTTAGGTCAGGCTGATGTTACCCAACCTGGCAGCTTTAAGTCTACTGGAGTTCACATTTCTTTCACTAACCCACTGTTTTTCATTTTAGCCCAGTATTTTGGACTTCTCATTTGCACTTGACACAGTTTTATTACACAGAGGTCTACGGATGAAGTGTGACAGAATTACTTATTTACTATACTGGAAGTTAAAGGGTCATTGAGTGCACTCATTGGCCCACCCACTGTTTTTATGGCTAGGTGTGTAACCTATAGTAGCCAAGGGTTTCCTTATCAGTCAACAACAAAAATCCCACCAGAAATAATGCTTTTACAATTTACAATATTTGTTTTAAACATTTAGAATTTTCTATTTATCATTGCATGTGCAAATATGCATTTTGTAAATAAATGCTAAGATATTGATAAACAAAGGACCACCAGATGAATTCCTGATCACAAAGGTGTTGGACATTGTGATGTTATCATGTACAGTATGTATTTATAATATTTACCCACAATAAGCATTTATGGGTAAATGAAAGCAAATTAGTGAAATATGATTTCGAATTATTTGCGATGTAAGATCAAACAGGCGTATGTGTCAAATCAATCATTTTCAGTTTAACTAAAACAATTGTCCAGCCCAGTTAATGTTTACCTGACAGCTCAAAACCAGCTGCAGGGGGAGGTGGTCCGGCAATGTAAACTTTACACACACAGACAGTAGCAGTCACTACTCCAGTTTAAAACTAGTCTACCAGCCAGAGTTCCCGTTAGAATATTTTTTTGCCGGTCAACATGTCCGTTAAAGTTGAAATCTTCCGGACAAAATTAGATAAGTGCCGGTTAAAGGTCTTCTTTGTTATTTATTGAGCTTTAAAACAAATTGATATGATTCGACATTAAACAAACTAATTATAGTAGATTAACTACATTATTCAAAAGTGTACAGTAATTTACAAAAACGCGGGAATAATAAACGGAGCGCTCTCTCCTTCTCCTGACAGCCCGTCAGTATCATGCAGCTCGCGGATCCAGTAATGAGTGACCCGACAGTAAAACTAAACATATCTATAACTAGTTTAGGTAGTTTGAGAGGTAATTAAAATAGCTACGTGTGATTTTCTAACCTGAAGTGTGTTTTGCTCTGCTCGCCGCTGCAGGGGATCATGCAGAGCTGCGTGTCGACTCGTCAGCAGCAGCCGATCTCTCTCTCCTGTCAGATTAGACTTTACTCGCATTTATGTCCATATCGATCAGATCTAGCTAGTTCTAGCTAATGATATGACTACCTGCTTGTTAAAAGACACCTAAACAATAAGCGTCGCTATGCAACCGGATGAGGCCACAAAGTATAGCGCAGCATTATGCATTTGTTTACATGCCCACCGGAACCCCGAGGCATTACCAACAGATCAACGCACAATCAACCCATACAGGACATCTCTTTCTCCACATTAAGTGTTAGACATTAGAATTGACAATTTTTGTCTGTCACATACTCTTTTGTCTGTCACATACTATTCTTGTCTGTCACATAAGTGGCGCAACTGATGCGGTATTGCGCTAAGGGAAAATTATTTTGACCGGACATTTTGACCGGAGAGATTTAGATTTGCCGGACTTCAGCATATTTTACCGGTCATTGTCCGGTAATTACCGGCTAACGGGAACTCTGCTACCAGCACAACAGCAGCAACACACTGCAAGCTCTTCAGCTGGAACCCATAGTATTTTTGAAGACTGTTGAAGCGTACAGGTAGCATTTTCTCACAAGCACTCTGTCATCTGATTTATTAAGTGTGTATGTGTGAGCAATGGATACATAAGCTTGATAAACCCTCTAATAACTCTACTCTGAATGGTCAGCAGCACTTAATGAGTGGATGTATTGTGTTATTCCAGATAGGGCTGGGTAATATATTGATATGAGACTGAATTTAATAATCAAACATTGCCTGTGGCATTTAACATTTCGGTTTTCAAATCTCAATAATGAGAAACTGCTGCGAATATCTGAGCTGGTGAGACTGTTGGGTTCGAACTTGAAGTTTGAAGTGTCATCTTTACTGACCATTTCTGGTTTGTCGATTTCAAACTAGAAAGTATGCAACCAATATGGATTCTATATTGAAATATATTGAGAAAAGGTTTCTGGATGCAGAAATCCAGTATTGCCATTAAACAATTATTTTCCAGGTTTTGGTAACATTGCCTATAATGGCCAAATTTGCCTAGAGATATGAAGAGGTCAGAGGTTAGATGCAAATAAATTGTTCAAGCCAAATTCTAATATTTGGGTCATAGGATAAACCAAAGTGCACTCAGAGAACGCAGACCTCTGCCAAAGCTATTTCCATAAGTAAAAAATAATGCGTATATCTGCCTCTTGATACATAACCGCTCCAAAATGTAATGTGTTCTTCCTTGGTCTATACTACACACTTCTAGCAAGTTTTATGAAAAGCGGGTCAGAAGTTTTTCTGTAATCCTGCTGACAGTTTAATATGGAGGTAATTATCTGCCAAAATAATAGAAGCAAGCTTGCTCAGTATGTCACAAGTGAACACAGTAGGTCTCTTTGCTCTTTGGGCTTCCAATAGATTAAAGATAAACCGCACTAATGTGAATGAATGAATTACCCAGTAAACTCATCAACACTTAAACAAGTCTGGTTTTAGCTCTTATCTGCTTCAAGATTTTGAAACTGTGTCCTTGTGACAAAACGAGAAATTAGTCAGATCTGAATATAGTTCTCAGTACGGACATGCTGTGCATCCGATGAAAGTATGTGCATGCCATCCATATGGAATAATCTATAATAAATCACATATGGCAGCAAATCGTTTTCAACTCCAATCCTTACGTGCTGGGGCCGACAGACCACACCTCAATCTCTGATCAAACAGGTATTCTGTCTCTGACGGCTCTGAGGAAAATATCTGCTGTCAAGATCTCTCACCTGTTCCAAGGCTTCTACAAGCAATCGTTATCGTAAAGTTACTGATGGTATGCTCAAAAAGTATGCATCATTAACTGAGAGCCACACACAGGTGTTAGTAATCTCTAAAGGAGGATCTGACAGAAAGCATGACCTCATTTAATTTTAATCTGCATGAAAGTGGAAAGATGCGGGAAAACAGGGTTCTTTCAGATGTCGTTTTTCTCAAGGCATTAAAAAGACTCGAAATATATTTTAAAATATGCACTGTGCTAATGCTGTTTGCCTGGTGAGTAGAGTGACATTAAATATACAAAGGAGCAACATTATATCCCACAACAAGCTATAGGGTGAGGTGTGAGGTTCGGTTGGTGACAGCAGGGGCTTTTCCTCCATTAAACTTTAAAAGAAAGGAAACCTACACTGTCTCTAGAAAAACACACAGTTATTCCAACCCCACATTTCCTGTACGTTTAGGAATAAAGCAATTTCTTGTCAGAGTAACAGTCTCCATCCTTTTACAGCCTGTTTACTTCCTGAGTTTACTCATGAACTTGAACTTCAGTGTACTGACTGTCATGAGTTCAGGTTGCTGGTTAAAGGCACAAGTGTAATTAGACTCTGGTGTTTTTTAGAGGTTAACCTTGCAAGGTGTTGTAGGTTTAACCTCATTACTTTAGAAGAATGCTGGTTGTATAGGAGGTTTTGTTTTACACAGCTTTGCAGAGGCAATACGTTTAGGTTAACGTTGCATGCGCTATTCTTGATGCACTGAAAATGGCTTTTTTTAGTAGTTTGGCAGTAAGTGAGGAGAGCAGAGCAGTTATTGCAAGTGTGTCTGAATAAGTGTTAGTTTCTTGCTCAGCAATTGCAATTTTCTTTGATGCTGATCATGAATGTCATGATCAATTTCGGAAAAATCTTAGTGACCCAATTAAATAATAGCTCAGATTGTCTTTAACAATTAAGAGCTTGAGTCCTTGGCAGTTCAACCCCCTTTGGTGCAACGTTTTCTCCCTGCTGCTTTCCATTTGAATGGGTTTATGTGGATGGGAGGGAAGGAGGAGGTGTCGGGTTGTTAACAATAATTAAGACTCATGGAAAAGTGCGCTTCAATTATCCTGGTTTGTGCAAGTCATTCCTACCTTCTATGAAACTAAGCCTGTGGGAACATTTGAGCAAAGCTGTGCACTGCAGGGACTGGTGGTTTTAGAGCATAAAGTAGCATTTAGATTTTAAATGAGCCTTAGGTCAGAGTGACATGATTTTGGTTTAACTGTTTCACTCTTCTGAATTCTGTAATTGGCCATAAAAGGGGGCATTATTCACTGTTTTCAAATCCCTTATGAGTGCAGGAATTTCAGTGACGATGCAAACCAAAGATGAAACTGTACACATGTATTTTTGCCTTTAAGACAATCTAGGGATATATGTATACTTTTTCTTTAGCAATAAAATGTTTATTGTGGTTAATCCTAGACATTATCAGCACATGGGGTTTACATCTGCCCATGTGATGATGTGAATCGTATACAACTGAAGTCTCTGAAATCAGCTGTCACGCTCCTTGGAACACTTGAGATGCAATGCCCTAAGCATTTATTCTAGAGTGACAGTGTTGAAAGGTGAAGATCGAGGGGATGACACGCGTAAAGGGGTCGCGCCTGTACCTGCCAGCTCTAACCACTGCAATCTCCTGCTTTGTCTCTTGAAATGTACCTTTTGTCCAATTAGATTGTACATCCTTTAATCCATTAGCTATACTGTACCTGCTTATCCTTTAGAGGTTTATTGGAGTCAATCCTTGCTGACTGAGTACATCCTGGACCGGCCGCCAGTCGATCACAGGGCAGAGGCACAGAGTATTCAGGGTTACAATACATCACTCTGAAGTTAATATTCCTCCTCTGACAATGGGTTTCAAATGTATTTGAAATTAAGGAAAATACTTAAGGATACATTTCCTGAGTTACGCCGCCAAATTCACTTTACCTACCAACTGCAATAATACCCTTGATATATAATTAAAACATTTCAGAACAAAACAAACGTATACTACTTTAATCGAGGCTAAGGGAAAGTAGTGTTTTCCGACTGAAAACACTACCGTTAAAAGTGGAAAGGAGTGTTGTTGAGACTATTTCAGACATATGGTGCCTGAGATGATGCATGTTCTGTTCACCACATAAAGACACACAGGCGATGTATTAATATCTGTAGCTAAATACAGTCTTCTGTTGTTCCATTACAGTAGACCAAGGCTCCAGAGTGTGCGTTCTTAGTTAAATCCATAATGGATGTTGTCTAAGCTTGACAACAGAGGATGTGAAGGAGGTGACTTTATTTTCTTTGCTGGGTTATCAAAAGAGCTTTCTGCCTCAGACAGTTTTCTAGGTCAGGGGAGCACCTCCTGTGAAAAACACTTCTTTAGTAATGAAGTACTGTAACCAGGTAGTTGAAGATTGCTAGTGCACTTTACATTGCATTATTAATGGTTACCCAACAATAGTAACAAAAAAGGTAATTGAAGGTTGTATGTCCCAAATGTCACCTGCTTATGTTTTCTTGGGTTAAATAACACAGCTCCTCTGCTAAATGACCACTTACAGGATGCTGTAATCCATTTTGTGTGTTTTTCCCCCAGGATTTGGCGTTTCTTTGATGGACTTGAGAAGGCGGTGGGCAACCGGTCCGTGAGATGTTTTTTCCAAAAGGGTGCTCAGACGAGGTCAGCGCGGATGGGACTAATGAGATCTGAGAGCGGGCCTGGCTGGGGACAGGAGTGAGCATGGACAATCTTTCTGACTTCGGGGGCACCTGTCCATCCACACACAGGGAATGGGAGTGAGTATCCAAACTAGTTCACTCTGTGATCTCTATTGTTCTTCTGTTACACACTGTACTTTATATGTTCACATTTCTATTGTCATACAAACAGTTCTTCAAAATGTAGGTTATTCCTCATTAAAATGTTGCACTAGTAAATATAAAAGGTGACAAAAACCTGAGCTGGGATACGTTGGGACCTTTATTTCCTTCCATGAAAGCTTTATTCAAACTATAATTTTAGCCATTTTCTGATGCACAAAGACAAATGTTTTCTTTTTAATTATATGAAACACATCTCTTCCCTCCTAAAGTATTTCGTCTATGATCCTTAGAAGTACCTCTGGCTTATAGACCTAAAGTAAAATAGCTTTTGTAATTTTCTACTCGAAATTATCTCAATTCCTCCTCTTTCACTATTTAATATTTCAATGGTAAGCTGGATGAGAATGTGAGTTCACTATTAATTAAGGAATAGATCAATTATAGTAAACAAGTGTATGGGTGAAAGGGATTTCTAAAAAGGATCCTGAGAAATGTTTTGCAGCCTACATTTAAAATGTACAGCACCACAAGACACAAGAGAAAATGTTAAACAAGTGTTCAAATACATTCCAATAATTAATTCAGTAAATGAAAGCTCCTTACAATCGAAATAATCGGTGTCATGCTAATTGTGTAACCCCCCAGCTATATAAATATAGATATATTGAGTATAAAGTACACGTTGAGTTGCCATCTGCAAAGCAGGGAACATTTCTCACTGATGTGATCAGAGCACTTACATCTGCGGGATCTGTGATCATTTCTAAACGACAGTTGGAAATGTATTTATTTACATTGGCTAATTACAAGTGTTATTCTTATTATGTTTTTTTTTTACTAATTCTCTAATTCTAATGATCTTCTTGTTTTTAAAGGTACTTCTGCTTCATGTCTTGTATAAAAAGTCCTCATGAGAATACATCCTTATTATTACTATTATTATTATTAATTTTAATGTATTTATTATTATCTGAAAATAGCAATGAAGCATTTTAATGAATCACTCTTTTTGAATATTGATCTAACACATGCAGAGTTACACCCACACATAGAAACCAGCAACCATTATATTTCTGACTTCTGCTTGCTTTCAGTTTCCATTATGCACTGTATCTCATCTTTCATTTAGAAAAGCCTTATGCCCCTCATGTATGAGCGTGGCTTTTTGAATGCTCTGGACACAACAATAGCTCACTGTGCACATGGGGAAAAAAATGTGGTTTTACCATTTGTCATGTGCATTTTCAAATGATCGTACCTCATTACTCATGTAGGAAAATATAATTTAAATGAAAAAGCGCAAAATAAATCTAAATCCTGAAGTAGCTTCAAGGGGGTTTTACAATCGGAACAGCCTCCTTAAACCCTCAATTTGGATAACATGAACTCCCTTTATAGAAAAGCCCTTCTTTGAAGAAAAAAGCGAGGAATCCTGAGAAACATAGTAACTGTATATATCTAGACAATATTACCATTTAGGTATTGCAATTTATAAATAAGAAACAGGCATCTTATGTGGTCTATAAATACATAAAGTATAGAGTTTGAGGCAGGCCTTAAACTCAAACCTGAATCTTTAGAAATGGAAACTCTCTGAACCTAACTAAGAGCAGAAGTCTGGTGGCACTCCTTAGAGTTGTAATCTGTAATATGCTGTAGTAACATGCACAGAGTAACTCACAACTGGCCCTATTATTCAGGGTAAAGTCTTATTTGTACTAGGCTTTATGACTTTATGATTATGTCTATTACAAATTGATGAACTTGTGACAGATTATGAAAGTCCGCCCGTGCTGCCCCGGCCACAGATAGTAAACACCTACTAGCAGTAATGTGTGAAAACGATAAGACTGGCTGCTGGTAAACCCTCTGCTCTGTGACACAGCAGGAGGTTGCATACATCAAATGTGATTCCACATGTTGAACTTGCTGCCATATTTCCTGCTATGATCAAACAGTGCGAGCCTGAGTGTGCATGAACCAAAAATAGGAAGTTTGCATGCATGACCCGTTAAATAATACAGGAGACAAACAAGGCAGCTCATCTGGGTTACCGGGTTATTTGGACAGAATCGTGGCACTAAATTTAGCCAGTGGGATTACAGTGTGTCTCTGTTTACATCCTTAATTTATCTGACTCGCAGACACATTATGAAAAATCACAGAAGATACAGCACATGTACCAAATGATTGAATAATTCCATTGAGCTGCTTCGGTTTCAGTGTCTTAGTACTGAAAACAATAGGACAAGTAAATGCTTTAAAGGTCTTTTGTGAAAGGGTGAAACATGTATCATGACAAAATGTAAATGCTATTATCTGATGGCCCTTTTAAATCATCAAATAATTTACATTTGTCTTGTCCCCCTGTGTTTTCCAGCACCAACAGCTGTGTGGACGATTTAATGGATGAAGATGAAAAAGACAAGGCAAAAAGGTATTTCGTTTTTCATTTATTTCATAAAGGAAGTCTGTAATATCTGAGTAACATACAGGATGTTATATTAATGATTATTACTAAATTCATTTTTAGTTTCTCTGTCTGCCTGAAAAACATGCATCTTTTGTGAAAGTCATCCTTTTAAAAAAACCTTAAAGCCTAATCTCATGTCATGGTTAAGAATGAAATCCATGGAAATTCAAGTATTTCCGAAATAGATTCAGGTAAAACTGCGCTCATGAGTGGTAATGACTTTTTTGTCACTTCTTGCTCCTCCTTCACACATTTCTAGACATTCATTCATTCTCAATGTAAGAGCACCAGATATAAAGTTATCCGCTGTATGACTTCTTTCTTTTAGATTTGTATTAGAAAAATATATTTTCTATGATTGCTGACTGTCATGTTGGAGAAGCTTTGTTGAATTTTTACAAATGAATATGTCCCGCTTCCCTCAAGATACCTTCTTCCGACTAATATGTAATTTCTGGAATTACATTTCTTATTACATTAACCTTGAATTCACTAAATGGTACGTGTGAATGTACCATCTCAGATTAGTCAATCTCAAATCACAGCTGAATCCTTTTTCTTGTAAAAGCTGCATTAATAACTTCTCGGTACAGAGGGAATCCAACACAAGCTGACAGACACACCGCTTTTGAATTGTTACCGCTACATATCTAACGGACGGGGAGCAAAAGGAGTATTCCTTTGGAGTTGTGTTTTTGACCACCTTTTGTTCCTAATGTAAATGTAAATCCAATATTCTCAACAAAAAAAGAATATCCTTCAGCTTTCTAACATCGTCTTTCTGCTGTTCGCCATGTAACGCTTTCACACTACTTTCCTAAACACTTTTAATACTGCTCTAAAATGAAGTGTGGCTGTGACCACGTTTAGAGCCATAGCTGATGGAAACACATTAGTAAGGATATAAATAAAAAAGAGGCTGTTCAGTTAAATACTGTGTTCTGTATTATACCACTCTTGTCACTGGTTGATCATCTATTTTAAACAGTCTTTATTATTCCATCCATCTGCAACCAAGTGTGTCCTTTTTTATTTGGTAAAGCGCTGAACAATCTGACAAGGATTTAAATGTTTAAGAACAGGTTCTTCATTGGCTTGCCTTGAGATTTCACTGATTTGTGTTCTCTCGGGTGGACTTCCGCAGGGCGTCTCGTAACAAATCGGAGAAGAAGAGAAGAGACCAATTCAATGTGCTCATCAAGGAGCTATGCACCATGCTGCAGGGCCAAGGCCATCCGCGCAAGATGGACAAGTCCACCATACTGCAGAGGACCATCGACTTCCTGCAGAAACAGAAAGGTATGAAGGTATCGCATGGTCTATACAGCATGTAGGCTTAGTTTGGGAAATGTTCAAGGACTGTATGAGGATGGTTTTTACTTTCAAACTTTTATACATGTATTATTACGTAATGATTCTCACTTAATCCTTTTCTTTTTCAGACATCACTGCACAGAACGAAACCTGCGAAGTGAGGCAGGACTGGAAGCCTTCGTTCCTCAGCAATGAGGAGTTCACTCAGCTGATGTTGGAGGTAAGGCCCAGGAGGAACAGCCTGAGTCACTTTAGCTCCAACATTGATTCATATGTGTTATAAATAAAGCAGGAAACACTCTCCCTAACTTTAAAGCTACATTGGCACACTAAATAATTAGTAATGCATATAACTATTACAGATGATGAGATGTGGAATGGTAAGCATTCTCATTTACGCCTTCACACATTCATTTCTCCTCCTTACAGGCCCTCGATGGTTTCCTAATAGCGTTAACTACAGACGGCAACATCATATACGTATCTGACAGTGTGTCTTCACTCATTGGCCATTTACCGGTAAGTGAAGTAGCCGAAACAACTTTACTCTATTGCTAACACTCATTTGTTTTCTGCTCTAATCCTTTTGTATGTTTTGTTCCCAAAAAACTAAAAAAGAGAGTTTGAGTGCTACATAGAGATTTTCGTTCAGGGCTGTTAACCTTTATCGTGTTAATGAGAGAAAATTCATTTGATCAATGACTGCATGTGCTGGTTTAAGTCTGCCACAGGCGTAGAAATGGCGTTATCCTCCAGTGTGAGAATCATGTGACCTGTTGTGCTGCATTGTTGCATAAAGGCCTTAAAGACTGACCGTCATGCACCTCTCCTTTTTCACCAGTCCGATATGGTGGACCAAAATATCTTGAATTTCCTCCCGGAGCGGGAACACGGGGAGGTGTATAAGCTACTATCATCCCACATGCTGATGACTGACCCCATTGCTGCTGACTTTCTTGAAAGTGAGTACCTGTCGCCTGGCTCCTGATTGTTTCCATCACCAGGTAGCAGTATGTGAGAGCAACACTGTGTACATAACACTCAGGCGAGGTATTTTCCCAGTTAAGGTCTTTATATTTAGAGCAGGTTGCTGAATTTAGGTCTGACGTTTATTGGATTGCTGATCTATGATTAGCCTTTTTTGCTAATTATAGGGGCTAGCTTAGTATCATAGTTAAGACTTTAAATCACTGTTATGTTCACACAGTAATCTAAAGGAATATAGTATCTGGGGCTAAAGACACTGACCTTAATCCCGCGTTACTATTGGACTTGTCCCAGGAAAAGAAACTTGCGAGAACCTCATGTCTCGCCCGATACTTAGAAGTCTAAATAGCGAACAGTCCCAGACCATGTCTGGAGCCATTGTGACGTCTTTGCCACATTTATAAAGACACAACAATCTTTTGTCTTTCCTGATCGTTTTGACAAGGTTGGACATTTTATGGAGGTCAAAACTCAGCTGCTTCATTAAATTAAAAAAGAACACTCAGACTATTAAGGGCAAAAATGTCCCATTAAAAGAATATTGATCCCACCGCCACAAAGATACAGTGTTTCAGATCTGGTTTCAATATTTGACTTTTGACAATGTTCCCCCAGATTGAATTTTGATTGTACTCTAAATTTTCCAATTGAAAATAAAAATTCCCACTAGCATGAAGTTCACTAAAAAATCACTACAACAATGGCATATGTGAACAAACTGAACATTTAAGGGTTCAAATTCTGGAGAATGTATGAATATTTTGTAGTTTTGATCAGAACTGATGTTGGTTAACCCATTTAACTCAGGAGAAGGGGTATTATCTAATTTTTACAATTTGTTATGCAGGCATGTTTGTCCTCGAAGGACATCAGAGCAATTTCTTTTAAAGAGAGGCACAAGGTTTAAGCAAAATAATTGATTATAACGTTAAAAAAAAAGCTGTTTTAATGAAAATAAAACATGCTGTTTTTCAGGTGAGGAACATATTGAATTTTGCTGCCATCTAGCCAGAGAAAACATTGACCCGAATGAGCCGGTTGAGTACGAGTACGTCAAGTTTGTTGGAGATTTCAAATTCCATAATAATGGTAAGGCCTTTTATTTTCTTCCTGTTTCAATGTATTCCAGTTCTTTAACATTAATGTCGTTTTATGTAAATACTCATAATCAACTGAAATGGAGAAAATCTATATATTTAAAAAAGTAAAATGGACCAACCCATGCTTCTCGTCCTTGTCATGCAGTGCCTACGTCTTCTTGTAACGGGCTGGATTTGACGTTACCAAGAAGCCTGCAGACGTCTCTGGAAGAGCAGGTCTGCCTCATCGCTACTGTACGATTAGTCACTCCGCAATTTCTAAAGGTAAGACCAGATCCAAATTCCTGTGCCTTTCTTTTCCCCGCATATGTTGCATTTTTGGCATCAATTCTCTCAGATGAATAAAACAGGTGGTGCTGGTGACGATGATAATCAAAATGGTCTGTGGTCTAATGGCATGAGTGGGAGCACACATTTTGTTACATGCAAACTCCATTGTTACAAGCACTCTGGAGACTTCTCTTTGCACATTGTGTCCCTTTTCAACTGATTACATCATTAGATTACAGATGAATCCTCCCAAATGTGCTCTCTAAGAGGACATCTGGACAGTCATTGAAGTAAATTGAAGCCCTGAACCTTTCTGAGGTCTTTAATGTTCAGATCAACTCAGATCAAACTTAAAAGAAAAGTAAGATGAAGCTAAAGACTCAAACATTGAGAGTCTATCTATCCTGTCTTTTCATCATGATTTTTTGAACCAATGCCTTAGTATTGCCCTAAAATCTATTGGACAGGCTTTGACTCTCCCTCTCTACTTTCTCCAGCATGTTAAAAAAAGACACAGATTTGCCAGATGGAAGGACTGTTACAGTCAAGTCTGGACCATATGACACATGGAATATTTTTTCCCTCAGACACAAGACAAATACTCCCTTTAATTTGCAGTTCTTTTTAACTCCAAACCTAGCATATTTTTCACAATTTCTCCCACAGAGTACTTTAAGTTGTCACATGCGTTCACCAAATTCTTAAATGTTAAAGGTTACAGCTTTAAGTCATTGATGAAATAATACAAATACGATGACATGTAAAAGATAAGCTGAATTTAGTAGATGAGGCTTCAAATGCTCTAACTAGTACTTAGACAAAAATAACATATTATAGGATTGGTAACTGCTTTCTTTGCTATAAAAGCCCATAAGTAACATTCTCTGTATTTTCTGTTCAGGATTTATGTAATGTGGAAGATCCTTCTGATGAATTCACATCCAGACACAGCCTTGAATGGAAGTTTCTGTTTTTAGATCACAGGTAAAAATATGTGTATGATGTCTTCTCCTATCAATAATCAACATTATAGCTTCTTTTTTATATAATTTTTTTTTTTCTCACACCTATTTTATCTTCTTTTTTATCTTCAAGGGCTTCACCAATCATAGGATATTTACCCTTTGAGGTTCTTGGCACTTCAGGCTATGATTACTATCATGTGGATGACTTGGAGCTTATAGCTCAGTGTCATAAGCAGCGTGAGTATTTCTGTCACTCCTCTTTTATAAACCACCCTCAGGTCTCAGATTTAAATTGGTTTTGGTTTACATTCTTTATTTTCCTCCACAGTAATGCAGTTTGGAAAGGGTAAATCCTGCTACTATCGCTTCCTGACCAAAGGACAGCAGTGGATTTGGTTGCAGACTCACTACTACATCACCTACCACCAGTGGAACTCCAAGCCTGAGTTCATCGTCTGTACGCACACTGTCGTCAGGTAGGCCTGGTGGTTTAATCCTGGGGTATAAAATATATGCAAAATAAAAGTAACATATACATTTTGTCAGTTGGATTAGGGAAGTATGTAATGCACCGGCTGTTGGCAAAAAAGTTAAATTTACAACCGTGTATTTGGGTCACTATAGATAAAACACCATTTTACTTGGGATAGGGTTTTATTTGCAGAGAAAAAACTCAGAATTGTGCACATTTTAAAATAATAGAACAACAGTATTTGAATTTAAATTGAGTCCCAAATGTACGAGAAAAAAGAAATGGGACATTTTGCGTTTATGATAGAAAAAAATAAACACCAATTTCTGAGTCTTTTCACCATAAATGTACCCATTTTAGTTTTTACCTACCCCCCCTGCTCTATATATTTTTGTTTTCAACCCTAAATTGCCATAATACAGCATTGTATATATTTGAAATACAGCACACTTGTCAAACAATCTCATTTTTGATTCTATTTTTCAGTTATGCTGAAGTGCGTGCTGAAAAGAGGCGAGCGTTTCGCTTTGAAGAGCTGTCTCCACCTGGAATCGCTCCCTCTTCAGTGAAGGTAACAGACATGGGTCCTTCTACGAACAATCAGCGGCTTTTCCAAGGTCAGTCTGTATGTCAGATTCAGATGTTGAGCATCCCTCTGTGTTCCAGGCTCAGGAGCTGTACCTGGACATCTGCTCCACTCTGGACCCTCCGCGGGACAGAACGAGCGGCGCACGTTCGGTTTCCTCCCACAGCTCCAGGAAGTCCTCCCCCACAGCGATGTCAGACTCCGCATGTGAGTCATCCTCTGCTCCCCAAAGTGCTGACTCACTCAGCAGCAGGTCAAAATGTACAGAAATCCTGCTCCTATATAGCTGAACGAATTATAGTTTTTTTTATGGAAAGGAATTATCTGCTGTTGCAAAACCGTTTAAATATTTTTCAACCTGAAAGTTGATCTGAAAATACTGAGTAAAAACTTCTGTAATCTAGCAGAACAAAAGTCAATAAACCACCTACCTTTTTATACTGTATGTGGGTGACGATGCACCCATAATGAAATGTTTAAAGGCTTACTTTAGCGCGCCCTGCTTGTGTGAGCCTCCAGTCTCGCTGCTCTTCCACCCACCATCTAATGTACTAAAACGATTTACTCCCATCTGCGTGTTTATGAACAATTGACAGCTGCAGACTCATTACAGACGCTGTTCATAAATATAGCTGCTGCTGCTCTCTTACCACACACGAAATAACTCTCACTATTTCCAAAGATATATTCATGCAGATGGTTTTTCTTCGCTTCTCTTTTCTGGCCGACTAGGATCAAATAAATTATGAATGAGCAGTGTTGTTACTTATAAAACCACAAAAGGAAATGCATTATACAAGATGTTCTGCCTTGACCATAGTGCCTCTTCAAAGGAGGAATCGACAGTCCCTTTTTAAAGTGGATACATAATATCCTGTTTCCACTTTTGTCTTTAAAGGTCACCCATTATGCAAAATCTACTTTTTCATGTCTTTTCTACATAAACATGTGTCCCCTCTGTGGAAAGAGATTCTGAAAGTCTCAGGAAAAAAGATTCTCTCACTTTCTGATCCATTTATATAAAAACCTGTCTGAAAATGAGCTGATTCGATTTTGGCCACTTTATGATGTCATAACGATTGTTTGGCTTGTGTAACCATTAGCCAATAACCAACCAAGGTAACCCCCCCAACCTTATCACCTGAATCTCCTCCTAGAGCACCATTGGATTCTTTTTAACCAAATATCTCGCAGAGGGGCGTGGGGAGTGGCTCCTTATTTTCATCTAAAGTAACAGACAGAGCAGGGCCGGTTTTTGGCATAGGCGACATAGGCGGTTGCCTAGGGCGCCAGATCTGGGGGGGCGCTGCGCTGGTAGCTCTGGGAGGGAAAAAAAAATGTTTGACCGTAGATGTAACAACATTCATAATTAAGTAAATGTAACACCCTTTTTACCCCGGTTACACGTTTCATTTGCCCTGTACGATGGGCGCTGTAAGTGATGAGAGTCGGGGATGTTGGCTTATCAGGCGCCCGCAGCTCACAGCCAAAGTGCGAGTGAGCGTGGGGGCGAGCGAGGGAGAGAGGGAGAGAGAGAGAGAGAGAGAGAGGGTGCACCGGTACCGGCGCTGTTGTTATTAGCATCTGGTGCTAGCTGCTCTAACGGATATAAGAAGAAGATGTTTCTACAACCCCTAACCCTGTCAGACTGAGAGGCTCAGTGAGGTAAAGGACTCTTGAGTGTTTAGTTAACTTTAGTCTAAGTTATCTCAGTGGGTCTCAAACGTTTTGATCACAATTTATGTAAACAAGGCACTCCTTTATAATTATTGGGATAAACAGGTTTGAAATCATTTCAATGTATAGGCCTACTATAGCAGTGGTTCTCAAATGGGGGTACGCGGACCCCTAGGGGTACGTTGGAGTACTGCAGGGGGTACGTGAGATTTATTTTATGTTAATGAAAAAAAAAAAAAAAAAATAGATAAATATACCAATTTTAGGAAAAGTAACGAAGTTTGAGCAGTGTGGGTTTTATATTAATAGACTAGAGTTACACATATTTCAAAACACGAAGTGTAATAACTGCAGTTGCCTCCCTGTCAGAATGACAAAGATCCTCAGTGAAGCACAAGCCCATGTTTCTCACTAAATTGTAAGTACAACTTATTAAAAAGATCAGTTCAATGCAACTAATGTCGTCTTAGTGTTATTGCATGATGTTAAAATTGGTTTGCCATGAATTTAGTGATGGATTGTAAACATTTGAAATGTAGCATTTAAGTGTTTCTCAGTTACAATGTTGTTGTTTTAATAAATCAGACACTGATGGTGCAGCGCTGTACCTCTTTATATAGGCTTTTTTCCCCTAACAAATACTTTTTGCGCTGATCAGGGGGTACTTGGCTGAATTATTTTTTCAAAGGGGGTACATTATTGAAAAAAGTTTGAGAATCACTGTACTATAGGACAGTAAAACAAAAATATCGTTTAAAACTGGAGAGATAAAAAAAAAAAGCATAAATAAATAAATGTTAACTAGGTAAAATAAGATATGAATGAACCGGCCCTGAGACAGAGAATCAGCACTTTTGAAACAGGGCTGAAACAGAGGGGTTTATGGGATGCTACAATGCTTGATCTGTTTGGTATTCCGAGCCAAACACTTCAGAGACATGCTTTGTATATATCTGAGACCTATAATATATTGATGAAAAACAGTCTAATAAGGGAACTTTAATGCTGACTTTAAAGAATGTATGTATTCCACTGAAACGAGCAGAACATGAAGATATCAGCTGTCATTCTACAAAGACAAATCGTGCTTCTGATATAACTGAACATGTCCTCAGTCTACTGTTATCAAAGTGTGTTCAGAGTTGACCTGTCTCTTCTTCAACAGCTAACTCATACACGGAGGCGTGCACGCCGTCATGGCAGCCTGCTTCCATTGGCACAGAGAAGACCTCGTCCAAGTTCAAACCTAGTAGTTCAAAGGTCAGTTTACGTGTCTCCGTCTGTCTCAGAAAAAAAATGGTCATTGCGGAAACAAATGCTCAGATAATGACATGTTATCACGTCACAGATTGTGCTAAATTGTAACCCTTTGTCGTTTTCCCTGTAGAATTTGGCACAAAGACAAAACTCATTCGACATCGCTCCCCAAATGAACCTCCCCCTTTCCCCTACCCGCAGCAAGCACTCCACCCTGGTTAGTGTTTAGACTTCTTCCCCTGCTCTGTTTGTTCACAATATCTTATTGTTATGACTGCTGCTCCTGATAGTTTCACCCATTGCTTGTGCCTCCAGGCCCTATATACTTGGGGTTATATTGTGTTATTAAACCAAGTTGGAGAGAGTTTAAGAAAACAGAACAAATTACAATCATTTTTTACTGGAAAGTGTTTTTTTCTTTTTCACATGTTGCGCACCTATGGCATTTTTGATTTATAAATTGAAATGCAATTTCAGGGAATACATACGAAGAATACCAAGAGTGAGCCATTATATGACTCATACTAAATGATTATCTCCGCATTTGCTACATTCAATGGGAAAAGAGGATCACAGATCAAGTTTAAGAGGAAAAGGCCAGGCTTTTCTCATTACTGTTCCAATTTCCTTTTGTGATCATTTCTTTGCAACCGCAACAGCAAACGCAGCCACAGCAAACGCAGCCACAGCAAACGCAAGAAACGCAAGAAACGCAACAAAAGCAGCAGCAGCAGCAGCAGCCGTCACCCATGTACCCGCCGCCGCCACAGCCTCAGGTCTGTGTGATGAACCAGCTGAAGGAGCAGCTGGAGGAAAGGACGCGCATTCTGCAAGCCGACATTCAGACGCAGCAGCAGGAGCTGCATGACATTAAAGAGAAGCTTCACCTCGCTAATATCCAGGTAACACTCCCACAAAGATTACAACACCTTATTGTAAGCTAACCACTGAATAGTCAGGCCAAGAAGCAATCACATACCAATTCAGCTACATGTAATCATTACACATCGTCAATAACCTGCCCAGAGGGCAACATCTGGGAATGTTGTAGTGTTTCTCCTATCATTAAGACACAAGAAGTAACTTCCGATCCAACTTCAAACTAAAAACATAAGTAAATGAAGGGTAGATTAATATGTTTTGTTTGTGTGTAAGATGTTGTTACAGCAGCCTTCCCACAATGACTTTGGCCAGGCCCAGCAGCAGCAGCAGCAGCAACAGCAGCAGCAGCAGCAACAGCAACAGCAGCAACAGCAGCAGCAGCAGCAGCAGCAGCAGCAGCAGCAGAACCAGAACCAGCAGAACCAGAACCAGCAGAACCAGAACCAGTCAGGTGTGATCAGGCAGCGCTCAGGCCATTCAAAACCATCGTCCAGCAGGACCCACAGGTCATCCCCTCACTCACTCCAGAGAGAGAACAGCTCCCCGTCAATACAGGTACAGAGCTACACGAGGGAAACAAGTCCAAACACAGCTGTCTGAAAATGTATTCTCTCATGTTAAGAGGATAATATTGATTCAATGTACCTTCAGTCATTAGCAGCTAACGACTCGTGGCCTACTTCAGTGCTCACAACACAGCAGAAGGCAGTTTATGGATTCAGCTGCTAATATCAGTCAATTATTAAAAGATATACACATCACAACAGGTGGTAATGTCATTGTTTTCTGAATGCTGAGCTTCCTGTGTTTACTCGTAGGTGCAGCAGAGGATTGCGCGCAGCGGGCAGACCCAGCTGGTGAGCATGCCTGTGCAGACCAACCCCAGTGTGACCATGCCCTTCTACAGCAACCCCATGATGTTCTCTCAGACCAACACCCGCTCTCTGCAGGATGCCAACCAAAGACAAACAGACGGCGAGTTCAACCAAGAAGGACAACTTCGGTAAGAGAAATGTGAAATTCAGCCCACTCAAAACCAGAGTATGACAGACAGAAGGGACATTACTAATATTTCATTTCATTTCAAACCTTTATTTAACCAGATTGGTCCCATTGAGATCATAGATCTCTTTTTCAAGGGAGACCTGCAATATGAAGTCAGTTTTATCAATAGTGGCCTTCAACTGTTAAACTCCTTATTTTATGTGTTGTGCTTCCCTGCCCTGAGAGGCAAGTGAGCTATTGTAGTGATCCATTATTTTCTTTTATTATTTTTTTTCATTGTCAAAATGTCACAAAATGTTTTTGGAAGGATAACTTTTTTCCATTTTGTGTTTGTTGATGTAATACTCCTTCCGGCCACAAGAGGCAGTAGTGCACAATTACCCCATGTTCTAAACAGGACTGAACACAGAAGATCAGGAAGAATAAAAACACATTTCAGCCAAAATAAAGACATGAGAGTAATGTCACATTACTTGCTAACACACTATTAATGTACTGTGTGTTTAAACCTCTGTATATATGGTTTAAACACACCTGGAAAAAAACAGGAATGTTTTGAATCCTATTTAGAACATGGGGTGGTGGTGCCTCTAGTGGCCAACATAGATTTAAACTTAGAGAACTTATCCTGACAAAAACAAAAGGAAAGAAACACCTACAGTCTTTCATAGATGACATTGTGTTAAACTTCTATACAGGAAAGAACTCTATTTAAGATTTTCTCTCACTTGCTTTTTTTTCACAGAACAGATTTAGTTTTTCCAGTAACACATTTTATTTCCCCGCAGCATGCTACTCAACCAGCCAATGCAGACGCTGGTTCCCACGAGCAGTGTCACCACGCAGCCTTCCCAGTGCAACATGGGCATCTCCCAAACGATGTGAGAAATGTTTCATTACCCTGCTCACACACACACACACACACACACACACACACACACACACACACACACACACACACACACACACACACACACACACACACACACACTCACCTGTTTGTCTCTGTGGTGTCATTTCGTATTGTGCCTAATTTTTTCTTTCCGCCCTCTGCACAGATACACCTTGGAGCAGCAGATCATCGCCCCTTCGTTCTCCATGCAACAGGTCAACTGCAACGCCGTCCTCGTGCCCTCCCCCTGCTTCACATCCCCCATAATGATCCCACCCAACGGTTTCATCACAAACCAGTCCCAGTCGGGTTATCAGACGCAGCCTCAAGCGTCTCAGCACTCCCTGCAGCTTCAGCAGCCCCAGCAGTTCTTTCAGGTACAAAATCATCTGCTGTTTGCTAATTGCTAATCTGAGGTTTTCTAGACTTTAACTCTGAGTCATTATGTGATGGATTGTAGCATTACGTTACGCAGCTTAATTAACCACACCTTTATATTTACTGATTTGGGATAATTTCAGGCATTACACTGCATCTGAATCCCTAGTTACCATAGCAACAAGCTACTGTGTAAATCCCACAGGCTGTTATTTTCAATCGTACTTAACCTCGGCTTTGAATCAAAGATGTGATGTTTTCTAAAATTCATCAGGGTTAAATAAATAATTTTCTAAAGACTTTTTTATCGTCTTTGTCCAGAAGGAACAAAACAGGTCACCAGCCTTCTCGCTGAGAGGAGTGTGTCCTTCATTTTTTATGGAAGCCATGAAGGGTCTTTGGTGTCTAAACTTTTCATAACCCAGAACTAGTGTCATCATTTCTTAAGATTTACTGTCCGAGTGGTTACATAAAAGTTAGGGCTGTACCAAATGTAACTTCTCCTCAATATGAACCTTCTATTGAGGTTTTCAAAAAGAGATATGTTTGTTTTTCACTGTAATTTATGACATCATTGCCCACAAAATAATGGATATAATATATGATGGCAGTCTGTAATATATGGTTTACTTTGGGACACTCTGGAATTCAGCATCTTAAGCACACCTCAGGCTATTCTACTAATGGGTGAAGGGGAGTTAGTGACAGAGGTAATAACATTTAATTCAGTAGTTCTTCAAGGACGCAGTGTTTATGTGTTTATTTCTTTAGAAGTCACTAATTCCTCCCAAAAAGTGTACACTATAAAAACCTATTATACACGTTGGGTAAGGATAAGATTGCCAACACTTCAACAAAGACTCCTATTCTCTTGTGTGTCCGCAGATGGCTCAGGGTCTGGTTCACGGCGGATCAACTCCAGCGTTCTTACACACCACTAATGTCCCACAGCAAAGCACTGTGGGATACATCCAGCAGCATCAAACTCAGCAGCTCCCGCAGGCACAACAGCAACAGGTGCAACAGATGCAATATCAACACTCCCAGAACCAGACTAGCAGTGTGTCAGACTTCAGAAATATGCTGACTCGGTAACGCAGTGCACCGCGTTCAGAGCGCTGAGATCTCAACTCTGTGTTGTCGCCGTGCGGGCAGCAGAACGTCGTGGCATTAGAAGTCAAGTTCTGTGGAAAGAAACGCCTGAAAGTGGAACGTTTTGCTCCTTACTGTTGGTGTTCAGTGGAGGTCGGTCAGTGGAAGTGGAAGCCAGAGGCAGAGGAGCACTGACCCGACGTTACCTGCGGGCTCTGAGGAGAGGTTGAGGGTCTGGACCTTCATCTGTGGCCCGGAGTCAGTCAAAAGTGGAACTATTGGATCAAGCGGACTATCAAAGCTCTCAAGAAGACGTCACTGTCACATGTTTCAATGTAAAAGAGAGTTCTAAATGTCTCTTTGCATTGTGGTACTGTCCTCCTTCCTAAAGGTAGAATATTTATTTTTGCCCATGAATTAATATTCTTTTTTCCTCACTAATAATGGCTCGACGCCCCTCCCAAGACGTACAATCTCATAGCGTCATCATTTAGTTGGCAGATAACAGAAGTTTCTCCCATTCTGTCCACAAAACAACGATTTACTGTTCATGTCACGCAAATCAGAGGGGTTTTATTGTGAAACATGCAGCAGTGAGGAATATTCTTTGATCATTTAGAAAGGTCTATCTAGATTTTTGAAGCCTCAATCTGGTACTGAAAGCGGGATCGTAAAGCTGTCCCGTCCCTTATCTTCGTAGAAGAATAACAGTCCTATACCAGAGGGGAAATATTTGTGCCTTTACCCATGGTCCGCCCATACTGCGGTTTGATGGTTGTGTCTGATTACGGCTTTTAAAAATCCAGCTCAGGTCCATTTGGAATACAAGAGGAGTTATATTTTCGTAGGTCATAGTTTATTATTTTCTGCATCAGATAAAACAAAAGACATCTAGATTTTTAACATATATAACAAATATATATATATATTGGATGCTTTTTGCAACCTTTAAATCTAAACACTTATAGTAACACATAAGATTCATTTAACTATTTACTGAAACCCTTAAATCACTTTTATTTATTTAATATATATTTGAAAAATATATGATATTAAGAAACTAGTTTTATACAAAAAGGTTTAAGATGATTTTATGTGTTTTATTTAGGCATTGAAGGGTCAACGCTGGTCCTAATGTCTCGCACCATCTGGGTTCATGTCAGAACAGTCCACTGACCTGTGTGATTTAAATATATTGGAAATAGTGAGAAACTTTGGTAGCCATCTTGCTTGCTATGTTGATAATTTTAAACACTATATCACCTTGTTTCTTCGGCATTCCTGTTGTTTTCTGTTCATTTTGTCTGATTTAAATGACCATCTGAGAAGTCACTAAATGTAAACTGTAATCATGACCAAATTACCTTTTTAAATCGCGTCCTACTCTGAAAGTGATCTCATCAAAAACTGAAAATAGTGCGAACAGATTATTACAGAAACCTCCAATGGATTATTGTATCATACAGAGGCAGCATTAACAAAAAACACATACATTTGACATTATTTTACCATTGTTTATTCAACTGTAAATGTAAGTTATTTATCAGTATTTTAAGATACCAGCTACTTGTTCTTTACATACTGTGCTTTTTGTATGGCTATCTTTCTGTCATATTCTGAAAGATTATTTGGTAAAACTACTAATCAGCTCTTGAAACTGCTCATTGGTATCAATCATCATTTTAAATATAAATGTGAGAGAAAGATAACAGTCATCTCAAAGCGCTGCAGTAATGGCGAGATGAGAGTTGTAAAAATAGAGGTGTACTGTCGAAGCCTGATACGCAGACGGTAAGGAAGAAGACGCACTAAAAAACCTGGTTCATCTTTCTGTTAATGACAATCAGAGAACTTGTAACAACATACAGTATAAAAACTGCCAGAGTCTGATCTCATGGTTTACATTTAAAAATATATCTATAAATCTGTTAAATCAGGAAAAACTGTTTATAATGACTCAGTGTTTCCTGTGGAACTTGTGCTACACTTTATAAAAGCAGCCCTTCATGCTCAAAACAGCAGTTTGCTCTCAGCTGTACACATTTAAGCTGCGTCATCAGATCCCTTCAGGACTGGTGCTGCAGAACTCCTGTGCCCACTTACACTTTCCTATGTGCAATGTCAATTTGAAGAAGAATGTTAATTTATACAGGATTGTGTGTGTGTATATATATATATATATATATAAGGTGTTGGAGGTGTTTAATAAGCCATTGTACCATGATAATTATATGGAAGTATTTTTTTTATGAAAATGTCCTAACATTCCGTTTATCAGCTCTTGAAGGTATCAGATATGTGCAGTGGGAATTTGGTGCAGAGTTGTATTTTTTCCCCAAACAAAAGGCAGTAACTCATGTTCACCCTGAGAAAATATTATATTGTCGCCGGCAAACAGAATGTCAGACAGTATGGGAGTCAGGGTGCAGCCGTGTGGTCTGGTAGTTCAGCCAAAACAAGAAAATGTAAACCTGCACATTTATTTAGCTTTTTTTCAGTTTCAATGACAGATTTCTGTCTAATGGTTTTTAAGAAAAAGTGCAATTGTACATCATCAGTCTCACTATGTATTCACACCCACATTTGGTATGGAAAAAGTTGAGTGAGTGACCATTTGATTTTAAACTCAGCCAGCAACACAGAGGTGCTATAGATGACTAATGTGTTTTTCATTCACTGGAAGAAGACACTCCTTTTTCCTTTTATCAGTAACCTTTAACCTTTCAGAGAAATGCAGTAACATTTCCTCTTGAGGTTGTTTACCATCCACATTCAGAGAAGATCTCAAAATCATCATACTGCTTCGAGGTGGTTGATGGAAGCGCCGTCCACGCCAGTAATCTCCACTTTGATTCAATCATAAGATAGTTCATGCATTGTGCTTCAGATGTGGGTTAAGTTATTTCCGCTTTGGACAATTCACCCAGTCTCTGCCACTTTTTGGAGTTTTTTTTTAAAGAGTGTATTGCTTCACAGGTGTGATTGTAAATAATGCATCTGCTCTGACGGTACTGTTTTCTCCCTAGTCTCCCTGACAGCACCTTTTCTTCTGTTCTTCAACTCGAGTGCTTTCTTTTTTCATGTTGTTTTTCATTGAGTGTCATTGTTTTTGAAGGCATATACTTGTACTTTCTAATAGTGACTGACACTTATGAGCGTGGGCAGTGAGATTATTGCATTCTGTGTAAGATTTGCCTGAACATGAACAAAACAGTGCACAGCCATTTCTACAGTCTGAATGCAGAAACAAATATTTAATGTTGTATAATAGAATGTAAAAAAGTTTAAAATATATATATATATATATAATTGTTTATTTTATATGCCTCATAGATTATATACGTAAATTCAATGATTTAAAATTAAAGTAATTTTGTAACAGATAATGAAGTGTCTTATTAGAGAAGGTGAGGTTCTTCTTTGTGTTGCACAGTTGTATGGCTTGTTTTCTTTCTGTATTTACCATCAAAATAAGCTTTAAAAATATCTTTAACATTGTTTTAAAAGAAATTAACAAATTAAGTTTACATTCTAAAATATCTTGATATGAATGATGTTATATTGAATTATTTATAAATCAACCTGAATATTGTGAAATATTTGAAAATAAATATTTTTAAACATATGTTTTTGCAAAAAGGCATATTTTTACATCAGTACAGCAAGCTTGTATTCATCTATGCAAAGTACTCAGATCAAATATTGTGCAACACGTTTTTAAACACTTCTCACGCAGCAGAGGGCAGTCCATATGAGCCACTGTCACACCTCCCTGAGATTTTCACAGTGATTCATTTGATGTCAGCCATCCCAAAATACCACTCGCTTCTCAAAATCTCTACAGTGACGATGTGCTAGTGTTAAAACTTGCAGTGTGTCGTAAGCTGACACCTTATTATCGCCTGAGCAATCTGTCAAATACACAGCTGAATGTTGATGGTAGGAAAAATGCAACTTTTTAATTGATTGCATTAACATGTTTATCTTTTGCAAAAGAATCATTGGAAGAATATATGACATTAACTGTACACGTGTAACAGAATTTACAGTATCAAATGAAGGTTTGGTATAAAACATTTCATCTTTCTATCAAAAATTACTTTCTAATGACATGATTTCTGATGAATATAATTACAAGATAGTCTCACAGAGCCGTACACTTTGAAACCTCGGTCACTCTGTACACCTTGCTGATCAGGACCTCCACTCTGTCTCCACCCAGATGGCAGAGGTCCAGAATGCAGACGAGGTGCATGTCCTCCAGCTCCCCAGCAGACCCCAACACCTCCTCTGCAAGACAAACACTGATTATAAATGTAATGCTGTGTATCGGTGATAAGAGTCTTCCCACGATGTGTTTGGATCCTCCACCCTTTTGTAGGTCCGGTGAATACCTGGCTGGGGAAGTGTTGATTGGCTGTGGCTGAGCGGACAGAGGAAGCCTGACGAGAGGCAGGACAGCATCGTGTTGCCATGGGGATCCTGAGGGAGAGCGACAGCCCTGGGATCATCTGAGCTCACAATGGGCAAAAATGCAGCATCGATGGCCATCTGTTTGTTTATGCCTGTCAGAATGATAACACAGAAGAAGAGTGGCAAACTGAGCACAAGAACAATATAACACATTTCATTTTCAAGAGTTTTCTTCTTTTTTTCATCTTTTAAAAGGAAAACTAGTCCAATTTATTCTTGGCCCACTTCAGTTCAATAAGAAATGTATACATCTATGGATCCGTTTTTTTATTAATATGGAAGGGGAATTCCATTTAAACGGGGTGAGTAATTAAAATGATCATTCTTAGGGTGAAGTACGCATTTAAAAATACTAATAATAGTTATATTAATTTATGTTTTCTTAATGTGACTAACGGCCCGTCCACACGGCAGCGTGTGTTGCTTCAACGGAGACGCTTCCCATTCACTTTGAATGGGGTGACGTCACGCTTTGCCGAGCTGCATTGTGGTTCCGTCGCGTCGCTTTGCCTCCGTTGCTCGCTTCGAAAGTTGAGAAAAGTTCAACTTTTCAAGCCTCGACGGAAGCGTCAGCCAATCAAATCATATGCCAGTACAAGCTCTAGCCAATCAAACCGCGTGCTTGTGTGTCCAGGGCGGGAGATTAATGTGATTGGTTGTTGGTCGCACGCCAGACACGCCCACCGGCATGAGGACGTACCGTGAGACCTCTGGCTTGTTTCCTCTGAAAGCAGGTCTAGCGACTCACTGACAATGTAAATAAATGCAACTAAAAGAAAATTCAGGCCAGTTTTGAAACTCTGCATGGATTAAGTACTAACCATTTTTGCCTCCTTAAGACAGCCATTCAGTGTCTGAATAATTCAGACAGAATATAATGTCGGGTGCAAAAGGATGTCCAGGTTCAGAGACGGAAATGCTCAAATGAACTTCCTGTGGGTCACAGATCAGAGTAATTCTTACGCTAAGACTTTACCTAGTATTGTAACTTGGTAGAACCCTGGACAGACCACAGGAGGGGGGGTGTCAGCACTCTGCTCTGGGGTCCAGTGCGTCGGCTGAAGGTTACTCCGCTGCAGGAGGACGTCCTTTTCGTCAAGCGTGAACCTCCGAGACACGCTGTCCTGGTACAGCCCGCCTTCACACAGATATTCAGACACTTCCTGTTTCTGCTTCGGCCAACTGCTGCTTTCCCAAGATATGACATCAGAGTCTGTTGAAAACACAAACATGTCAGTATCAGAGTATCAGAATGCAAAATGTACATCGCGGTCAAACTGCAGCTCCAATGACACACCTTGATTTTGCTGGCTGTCTGCGACATTCGGAGCGTCTTTAGATCCAGAGTCGCTCTCTTCCTCTTCCTGCTCTTCTTCTACCTCAATCTCTGAAAGTCTCCTGTTGGCGCAGAAACAGAAGGAGCTCAGAGTGATTGAACTTGATAACTAATGAATACTACCAGCTGGATCATTATTACCTTTTTGCTGCCATGCTACGAAGATTCAAGGAGAACTGATTGACTTTTCTGGAAAACATGTATGTATTCACAATTGATATAAAATCAAAACATGTGCTCCTAGCAGCCACTAAAGATAAATGATAGATTCGCTATTAAGCTTACAAATATTTGAGTCAGGAGTGAAATGTTACCTTGTTTGAATTCTTCTTTTTATTCCTCTTACTGAGATTTTCTCAGCAGTTGAAATGGGAGCCGTGGTCTGCTCAGCTGTGGAGGGATGGTCCTGTGTGTTTGGTTCACACACATCAGGAGCAACATCTGGCACCTGCTGCAATCAGTTGACTTATTTAACAATGTGGTAATGGTCGCTACTCTTGGACAGGTGATTTAAAAATAATGTTCTTTACTTCTCTCTCCTCTGTTCCTCTAGACTCTGTTGATTTGGGGTGTTTCGTGTATCGCACTGCCGCGATCTGTCCTTGAATTGCAACTTTTTTATGCTCCCTATATTGGAGGGTCTCCATCTCCTTCTTCAAGTCGGCCGCAGCAACCAGAGGAACTTGAGCTGAAGAAGGAGCAAAAATAAATAAATTAAAAGAAGTCTGTAGGAATCAGGATTTATGTGCTTTGTGTATTCTACACTTTACAGATCAAACAGATGACTGTAAATTGTCTTTTTAAGGGGAACTTGGAAGAAAAGCTTTTGAAAATCCCCTGCAAATCCCCTCTATCTTTTGGCAAAACTGGAGGAAAATGCTAACATATATTCTTTCCGATTCCTGCCGCCCACAAGAGAACTGAGTATTTCTTATTTTGGTTCAGTACTGAAGAGAAGTTCATCATTTCAAGCTCTGCTCTGAAATTATTCATATTAAAGCTGGACTTATTTTCTGGAGCTTATCGGTGAATAATTAGTTCACTGAGAGGCCAAACAAAATAGTGCATGAAATGAAAACATTTCTTCAATAATAA